CCCACACCTGCGCCAGCGACAAGTCGGGCTTCTGCCCGGTCAGCAGCTGGTACGGCGTCGTCCCCGCCGGCAGCGTCGACCTCTCAAGGCAGTTGCGGACCCAGACGGCCTGACGCAGAGCGAGGTGCCACCAGTGGTGCTGCACGCCCATGTGCAGCAGCATCGTCCGCACAGACTCCACCACCGTCCTCATCTCCCGCTCCGCCATGCCGTTCTGCTGTGGGGGTGTACGGGCAGGTAAGGTCGTGGACGATCCCCTTGCCGTCCACGAAGTCGGTGAACTTCCTCCCGAGGAACTCCCCTCCCCGGTCGGAGCGAAGCATCAGCACCGACTTCTTCGTCTGCCTCTCCACCAACACCAGCCACTTCTGGAACTCCAGCAGCACATCCGACTTCTTGGCGACCGGCCTCACCCACACGTAGCGGGTCTTGCGGTCCTTGAGCAGCAGGAAGTACAAGCTGCCGTCCTTGGCAGCCACGCGAAACGGCCCGCACAGGTCGATGTGCACGACGGCCAGCACGTCGTCGGCGTCAGAGCCTTGGTCGGGGAAGGTGTGACGCATGAGACACACGGTGAGTCGGCGCCCGTTGCCGACTTGAGGTCCAGCCCAGTGGCGACCCCGTGCTTTGCCGAGCTCCGTATGGTGTCCATGCCAACGTGTGCAAGCCGCGCATGCATCCTGTCCGGCGTCGACTTCGTCTTTGAGACGATCGCCCGCAGGGCCACAACCTCCGTCGAGGGCGACGTCGACCTCGTTGAGCAGGGACGCAGGTCGGTGCAGAGGACACGCCCAGAGTACGTCGACCGACCGAGCACCACTTCCGCCGCCGAGACGAGCAGCATCTTGTCTCCGTCCTCCTGCAGCTTCACGCCGTGCTCCTTCAGCTGGCCGGACGACAGCAGGTTGGCCCGCACACCCGAGACGTACAGCATGTCGGGGATGAGCACCTGCTTCCCGGCCTCTCCTTGCAAGGTGACGGTGCCACGGCCTTGGACGTCCTGCAGCGCACCATTGAAGCCGCGCACGTGCTTGATGGGGCCGCTCGGCTGTAGGTCGACGAAGACCTCCTTCGTCCCCATCAGGTGGTGGGAGCAGCCGCTGTCGAGAAGGACCACCGCTGGGTTCGCCTGCACAGCTGCCGCCACCGCCTGGAAGTCCTCGCCGGCCTCCGGCGCCAGCGAGACGGTCGGCTCCATGACGCCGACCAGCGAGCACGACACCGACTTGTCGTCCCGCCCCTTGCCGCCAGCAGAGGAGTCGGCGTCCTTCGCCGAGGTCGACTTCGTCGACTGCTTCTCCTTGCGCAACTTGTTTCCGCCTCGACGAGGACGAGGACTGCCAGACCTCCCGTGGCCTTCCTTGGTGTCGTCGTCGTCGGAGTCACTGCGGTCGGGGCACTCGAAGGAGAGGTGGTCAGGGTCGCCGCACAGCCAGCACTCCCGTCGTCGACATCCTCCTCCTCGACCGCTGTCCTTTGTTGACTTCTTTTTTGTCGACTTCCTTGGCCGGCTTCCAGCCACTGCTACCACCGCCGCCGGACTGTTTGCGCTGCCCCGGTCGACCTCCTTGCTTCGCCGGGGCGACGAAGTTGGCCTGCGCCAAGAGCTCCTGTGACCGCTCTACCTCCTGCATCACCTCGTCCTGCAGGATGTACGAGGTCAAGTTGTTCTCGTTGAGCGTCGTCCTCGTGCTCGGCGCCATTGACAGCCGCTTCAGGAGGTTGTAGCTGCTCGAGAGTCCCTGCATGACGTGGGTGACGTACGACGCCGTCGAGTACTGCGCGCCGGCCATCCTGATGGTGGCGAGAATTCGCCGGGCCCGGTTGCAGTAGTCGGTCGCCATCTCCTCGTCGCCCATACGCAAGTGCGTCAGCTGTCCCTCCAGCTGGGCGATGAACAAGTCGTCGGTGACTTGGTAGGTCGACTCAATGAAGTGCCACGCCTGGTGGCCGGCGTCGAGGTACTCTCGGCACCACTTCAAGGCAATCTGTACGCCCGGCGAGCAGCACCGCGAGATGACCGTGAAGGTCAACAGCTGCACGGCGCGGAACTCCGCACGCAAGTCGGGGTCGTCCGGCGTCGCCACAGTGCCTCGAGCAAAGCTGATCAGCCCGGCCATCTCCAGCAGAGGCTCGATGGCCTCCTTCCAGGTGAGGATGTCGGGTCGACCAGTGAGTGGCGGGGTGACCAAGATCCTGTCCGGCGTAAACTTGAAGTAGCCGTAGCTCGGTGCTATCCCGCCCGCCGTCACCTGTGTCGCCGACATCGGCGACAGTTCGCTTCGTCGACCTCCGACGTCACCCTGCGAGGAGCCCGCAGCCGCCGACCACTGCCTCCCTTGCACCTGAACGCCGCCGACTTCATCGGCGTGAATCACACCACTTTGCCTCGACGTGCCTCTCGCACTGCTGCCGACTTGTCTACCTCCAGCGTTGACGCCCACGTCGACGCCGCCTTCGTTGGTCACCGGTCGAGGAGAAGCAGGTCGAGAAGGGTGCTCCGCTGCCCACATGGTGCGGAGTCCAGCCTCGACGACCGCCCAAGGCAAGTCGCCATACTCGTTGGCCTCGTGCTTCCTCGTCGCGTTCTCCAGCCATGCCTCCAGGGTGTCCACCACCCCTGCGTCACCTACGGCTCCTACCATAGTGACTTCCGCACAGCTACCGGCCTGCATCTACGAATTAGGTAAGTGGTGTCTACGTCGACCTGACTGAAAGGTAAGTCGTGTGCCGTCCACGCTCACCGCACCATGTGGAGATAACTACTACAACGGGAGCTAGGCTACGGGCTAGGCACGAGTGCTCGTGTGATCTCTGCGTTCGTTGGTCCTTAGTTGTTTTTCCTAGTGCACACACTGCTTGCTAGTTCACGGGGCAAGTTGGCAAGAGTTTCACTAAAGAAAGTTGACAACAATGGTACAATGAAGTTGGCATGGCAAGACTACATCAGAGCAATCATTCAGGTCGGTCGACTGCCAGCGCAGCTTGGTCGACCGCGCTCCAACGGTGCAAAGTCGACGGCGTGCCAACGTCGCAGGTTGACGGCGTGCCAGCGTTGCTCCCGCAGAACAACATCGCACCAGCTTCGCAGGTGCTTGCAGACGATTGGCGTGCTGTGCCTCGTTACCTGCACAACGCACGCATCATGTCAACCTGACGCACGCGACTGCGTCTGATCCGCCACGTCGACCTCGGGATACCATCACCGAGGTCGGACTCGCCAACTTCGCCTGGGCGACCGTCGCACTCCTCCGCAGAAGTTCGTCACCCTGGTAACCTGGTCGACTTGGCAACCACGTCGACCAGCTGCTCCCGTACGTGCATGTCGACCTCCCAAGTCGACGACCACCTCCAAGTCGACCTCACCAGGTCGACCACTCCCCTGGTCGACCAGCTCCAGGTCGACGTCACTTCTGGTCGACCAGCTCCACGTCGACCAGCAGTCCTGGTCGACCAGCTTCATGTCGACCAGCGCAGTTGTCGGCCGACCACCCAAGTCGGCTACCCGAAGTCGGCGTCACCAAGTTGACGTCCTCCGCAGGTCGAGTTCCCAGGTCGACCTCCCCGAAGTCGGCGCCAACCTGAAGTTGGCGCCCGCGCAGTGGCCCCAGTGCAGGTCGACCTCCTCGTCAACCAGCTCGCCCACTGCTGCAGGTCGGCTGCTTCCCTCACACCCGACCACGAAGTCGGCTCCGCCCAAGTGAGGACGGGGCCAACGCACAACTCCCGTTGACACTCACAAGATTCACACAAGAAAGTTGGAGTCGCTAGAAACCAGATAGGAGAGAAGAGGAGGACGAGAGGGAAAATTCCCAAGGAGTCCCCAACCAAGGAAACCCCATAATCACATCAAATCCCCTCCCTATAGCAACCCCACTTTTACTTTTGTCACTTTCCCAACCTCCACAATCCACCTCACCCAAGTTGGCCACACTTGCCAACCCAATTGGGTTTCTCCTAACCACTTGGCAGCATCTACAGTGATGGGGACGAATTTTCCAACCCCCAAAAGTCTGTATCCCATATTGAGTCACACCACAAGTTCCCAAAGTCGTCCCATCACAAACAAAACTTCGAACGATCGTAACTTTGTCGCTATTGCTCCGATCGCAACGATTCTTGGTTCGTCGGAAAGCTCTTGAGCAGAGGATTCACTTCAGATATCTGCTCAAGCCAAATAAAATTCACACACACTCTGAAAATCCAAACCACACCAAACACAAATTATTGCACATGCTCACACCACGCATGCAACGCACGAACATATGATGGGAGGCAGACAGACGTGAATGCAAATGATGGCATCACATAACACTACGTTCAAAGAGGACATTATCAGAACCTAATAATCACAAGGTGCGATTAGGAACCGGCGTGAGGCATAACGATGCAAGCCGTTACATCACGCATGCGACCGTGATATGCTGCGCGTCGCAGTAGAACAAACTGGTTTGTTGCCCATACTCGTTTTCTAACAGATTTGAGAAGCAACATCGCGACACCCCGTCACGGTCCAACACAAGGCGGCGCAAAGCGCGTGGAGCGCGCTTGTGTTCGACATTGCATAGGCTCAACGCTGCACCTATTATTCAGATTTCGCACGGTTTGCAACGCCTCGAACCTTGCCTACTAGATCCGTGCGGAATGCAAGGCATAGCGCCACGCTTCTCGCTTAGGCACGGAACGCCTGATGCAAAGCGCCGCCTCCGCTCGTTTTCACACGGATTTCAAGGCACAGCGCCGCGCCTGCTTGTTTTCACACGGAATGCAAGGCACAGCGCCGCGCGTGCTCGTTTTCACACGGAATGTAAGGCACAGCGCTGCGCCTGCTCGTTTTCACACGGAATCCAAGGCACAGCGACGCGCATGCTCGTTTTTACACGAAATGCAAGGCACAGTCCCGCGCCTGCTCGTTTTCACATGGAATTCAAGGCACAGCGACGCGCCTGCTTGTTTTCACACGGAATACAAGGCACAGCGACGCGCCTGCTCGTTTTCAAATGAGGTGCAAGGTGCAGCGCCGCACCTGCTCGTTTTCACGTGGTGCGCAAGACACAGTGCCGCGCCTGTTCTATTTCAGCCGGAGTGCAAGTCACAGCGCCTCGCTTGCTCTAATTCGTTTGAAGAGCAAGGCACTGCACTCCCATCCCTCTGTCCCTCCCTAATTCCTCTTTCCTCCAATCCCTTTGCAATTCCCCTTCCCTATGTCCCACCCCGTTTCCCCATTTCCAGTCGTGCATTCGCGCCCCCTGACTTAGCCGCCAAGACCCTCGACGGGCTTGATTTGCCCGACGCCGCAAGTGTGTGCTGGTGTGAGTGTCCCCGCTCAGGTGTGTACCTGGTGTGTGCCTGGTGTTCACCTGTGCGCCCCCACCTACCTTGCTTATACCGTCACACCCATCACGCTCCTCTTCACAACCTTCCCACATCACCCATCCTCTTCACACCCTTTCGAGGCTTGAAAGAGGGGTTGATCGGCATTGGGGCTCATGGAAGGTCGCCGTCCCACACGCCCTCGCTTGCCCTTTTTCCCAGCCATTCCCCCTATGTCCAATGTGTCTGCCCCAGGCCACCCGTGCGAAGGGACATCAGCAGCCTAGGCCCGGCCCAGGACTCACTCCCTGACTCTGCCCTCCTCTGCCCCTCTTCATTTCACCCTCCCAAAGAACCAACCGAATTTCCTCTTCCCTCTGTCCCTCTCGATTTTCCAGTCCCGCTGTCCCTTCCCCATTTCCCCTTCCCTCTGTCCCTCCCCATTTCCCCATCCCCCTGTCACTCCATATTTCCCCTTTCCCCAGTCCCTCAGCATTTCCCCTTATCCCCTCCCCCCTGTCCCTACCCATTTCCCCTTTTCTCTGACCTCCCCATTTCCCCTTCCTGTACAAACTCAATTTCCCTTGCCCCTGTCACTCCCCATTTCCCCTTCCCTCTGTCCCTTCCCCATTTCCCCTTCCCTCTGTCCCTTTCCCATTTCCCCTTCCCCCAGTCCCTCAGCATTTCCCCTTGTCCTGTCACTCCCCTTATCCCCTTCCCCTTTGTGCTTCCCCATCTCCTCTTCTTTTTCACACCACAATTTCTCCTTCCCTTTTGTCTCTCCCATTCCCTCTGCCATCTGTCCCTCCCATTTCCCACCTCCCCTGTCCCTCCCATTGCCACTTTCCTCTGTCCCTCCCAATTCCCCTTCCCTCTGCCCCTCCCCATATCCCTTCTCTCTGTCGCTCCCCATTCCCCGTTCCCAACACTGCATGTTACCCCTTCCCTCTGTCTCTCCCCATTTCCCCTTCCCTCTGTCCCTCCCCATTTCCCATTCCCAACACTCCATCCACCCTTTCCCTCTGTCCCTCCCCTTTCCCCTCCCCTCCGTCCCTCCACATTACCCCTTCCCTCTGTCACTCCCTGATTCCCTTTCCAATACACTTCATGTGTTCCCTCCCCTCCGTCACTCCCGATTGCCACTTCCTCTGTCCTTTACAAAATCCCCTTTTCTATAACCCTCCCATTACCCCTTCCCTCTGCCCCCCCCCCCCCCCCCCCCCATTTCCCCTGCCCTTTGTGCTTCCCCATCTCCTCTTCTCTCTCAAACCACCATTTCCCCTTCCCTTTTGTCTCTCCCATTTCCCCTGCCATCTGTCCCTCCCAATTCCCCTTCCCTCTGTCCCTACCCATATCCCTTCTCTCTGTCGCTCCCCATTCCCCGTTCCCAACACTGCATGTTACCCCTTCCCTCTGTCTCTCCCCATTTCCCCTTCCCTCTGTCCCTCCCCATTTCCCCTTCCCTCTGTCCCTCCCCATGCTCCTTCCCACTATCTCTCCCATTTCCCCTCCCCTCTCCTCCCACTTTCCCCTTCCCCTTTCTCTGTCCCTCCCCATTTCCCCTACCCTCTGTCCCTCCCCATTTCCCCTCCCTCTGTCCTGCCCCAATTCCCCTTCACTCTATCCTTCCACATTACCCCTTCTCTCTGTCACTCCCTTATTCCCTTTCCCATACACTCCATGTCACCCCTTCCCTCTCACTTCCAATTGCCACTTCTTCCGTCCTTCCTCAAATCCCCTTTTCCGTAACCCTCCCATTGCCACTTCCCTCTGTCACTCCCATTACTCCTTCCCTCTGTCCCTCTTCATTTTCCCTGCCCTCTGTCCTTCCCCATCTCCTGTTCTCTCTCTCACTCCCATTTCCCCTACCCTCTGTCCCTCCCCATGCCTTTCCCACTATCCCTCCCATTTCCTCCGCCCAGGATTCGGGCATCAAGTTCGGTCACATCAGCTCAGCCACCCGTGTCCTGCATATAACCCTTTCACACCCTTGCTTGCTTCCTCATCTGACATTCCTCCTCTCTTCCCTTGCGTCCCCTCCAGCCATCACGGTCTATAGTCTGATAGCCTCTCACTGCTCGCACGGGTACTAGTAGTAGCACCAACCAGCCCACCTGTTAATCACAGCACTGTCCCCCAACCGCCACCTGAATCGCCCGAACTGCATCCCCCTCCTCTCCTCCCCCCATCCCTCCACCCCGACACTATCCCTCCCCATTTCCCTTCCCTCCGTCCCTCCCCATCTTCCCTTCCCTCTGTCCCTCCCTAATTTGCCAATCCCTCTGTCCCTCCCCATTTTTCTTTCCCTCTGTCCCTCCCCATTTTGCCTTCCCCTCTGTCCCCAATTTCAGACACACCTGCGGCCCCCCGCTGACTTAGCCATCAAGGTACCTGACGGTCCTGATTCTGACGTCGCCACTCGTGTGTACTAGTGTGAGTGTCCCCAACGTATGGTGTGTAGTGTGCCTGCTGTTCACCTATGCGCTCCCACTTACTCTCCTCAAATAGCCTCTTCACAACCTTCCCAAGTCACTCGTCCTTCCAATAACCTTTTCACATCTCCCATCTTGTACACGACCTTTCCATGCATGAAAGTGGTGTGGATCTGCATCATGGCTCGTGGAAGATTGCCGTCTCAAAACACACGCCTGCCCATTTTCCCACCTGCTTCTCCTCAATTCTGTCTCACGCAAGCCACCAGTGCGAGTGTGCATCACCAGCCTTTGCCTGTCCCGGGACCCATTCCTTGCCTCAGCCCTACTCTCAGCCTGTAATTGACCCATGCGTTGCAGTCCATAGCCCTCTCACGCACATATCACGACATCGGCTCCAGCCACCCCGCCCTACAGATGAACCCTTCACACCCTTGCTTCCTCCCTCCGCGTCCATTCCCGCTCTGTCCCCTTACGCCATGGGAGGCATCACGGTCTATAGACCACCAGCCTAGCCCTAAACGCGTGTCTTCTAGAAGCACCAAACAACCCACCTGCCTCTCACAGCAATGCGCCTTCAAGCCGTTCGAATGATTAGCAATGCACATCGATGCCCCTTATCGCCCCTCATCTCCCCAATCATCCCAAATTACTTGTGCTCTTCACAACCTTTTCAAATTACCTGTCCTCTTCACGACCTGCCCCCCCTTCTCTCCCTCCCCTCCCCTCCCCTCCCCTCCCCTAACCCACCTAGCTGCTTCAAACCCCGCTGAGAAATCAAACGCTCCCACTACCCTCGATTGTCGTCACTATCTCAACTCTGTCGTGCCATCTCTCTTGCAACCAGCATAGCACTCCTTCTCCATCGCTATTCCCTTTCTCACCCTTCTGCCAGGCGGAGCTCATATGTCCGGCACAGAGAGGGAGGGTGGCGACGAGGGTGCTGACCGTGCTGCCTTAGTGCCGGATGGTGAAGCCAGGGAGACTGCGACGTCCAAGGCATTGCACAAGTTGCTGCACAAAAGAAAACTCACTCTCAGCTGTCACTTGACCACACCATGGGCCATCCTACGCTGCAAATTGGCAAGCCTCAAGGGAGGTGGTTGTGTGCCACAAGATAGTGATATGGTATTCTTGTTCATTGAAGACGCCCCCCGCTCTTGTTGACTATTTACTTGACGCAGCCTCTGCTGCAGGTATGACAAATGAATCAACCATGCTCTTGTGCCCCATCCTAATGTCTTTCCAGCCCATCCTTGTCATCCGGTCGCCCAGATGCACGTCTGTTCCAATGTGATTCACCTAGCTGTTCATGTTTTTCCATTATTTTCAAGCACATACATATCGCAACCCATCCCATCCTACTGCTCGCATGCCCATCCCTTTCAAATCCTCAATCAGATTTGCATCACAATCTCACCCTGAATCCATCATGCTGATCACATGCTCATCCCTGTCAATGTGGTACACCATGTGTGCTCATGCCTTGTGCCCATGTGTTGAAGGTACGAGGGGATACGGCGTCAAGTCTTCATTCAAAGCAGGTGTCGATGCACACGCGTCATCGGTGCGAGTAAAGAAGAGAGGTCAAGGATTCCCTACGGTGAGGGACCTTTATTCCCTCCGCTCGACACCAATCAGTGGTTTGGTGTACAGCTTTATCGCAACGCCGGAGGAGCAGAATGCCGCTGAGCCGGTGCCTGGGTTTCGATGGGGTGGGGCCAGATGTGGAACAGCCTATCAGTCGCTGAAAACGCCCGGTAAGAGGCTATATTCTTATGAGTGATGCATCGGAATTGTGGGTATTGTAGCGTATGATGCGTTACCTTTATTATGTATTTTTTGGTGGCTAACTTAACTTGTATTACATTTACAGCATTCTCAGTGTGTTCTATCTCATTTTCAAATGCCGCCCCTACGTTCTAACCCACAGGTTCAGTGCCCGGGACATTCGAACAAAGGGCGTGGTCAAAGTACCCACCGCATCTGCCACGCATTACAACCCGCGCCGGCACGCTGCAGGAGCCCTACTCTGGCATAACGGAGCATGATATGGCAGGCGGAACCACGAGCGAAGATGTTGAGGAGGGGTTGCAGGAGGAGGCAGTTGCAGAGATCGATGGGAGCAACGAGGGGAGTGGAGGTGAGGATCAAGAACATGCGACATCCGGCATGGGTGTCGGGAGGGGCCAACACATGCCGACAAACAGGGGAGGTGCGACGAACATGGTGGATGAATCAGCTCCAACAGCGACAGCTGCCACAAAGTGAGATGGACGGGCATGGTTACCGCAAATGACGTATATGCGTTCAGAACTTTTATCTGCTATTTGGAGATGTTGTCGAACATGCTGGTTGGAGCAAGATTTCTAACGCAATCATCAATGTGTCCATGAACCCCAAATGCCCAACAGTGACGATCCCCGACATCAGGGTTTCGGATGCGGTGTCCCGCAAGGCTGGCCATCTTCACCGAGCCATCTTCACAATAAGGGTACTATGTGATACTTGGACACTATATGGTTTGTAAGGTTGATGCTGCTCTTCTCTCTTCAGTGCACTGCTGGTGTAGCGTACGGGGGGACGATGCTTTTACAGTCATGGAAGAGGTCTTTGGGGGCATTTGGGTTGTTATGGAGGTGCTTGAGGTGTAAGCGCACTGAAGTTTGGTGGAATTGTAATCGTGAGGCGGATGTGGGTCAGGCATCAAAGAAAGGGCCGAAGATGCCATGGCTCACCCGCACTGTGATGGGAGCATACGTGATAAGTGGTCGTGTGTACCAGACTCTGGAGTCCGTGTCACGCAACCTCGGTATCCCGATCCCTGCGGCGGGAACATTCTATTCGTATATGAAGAGCCTGCATGGTCTTTGGGCTAGTATTGTGCGTCAGAGTGAGTTATCGATGGCGAAAGCGGGAGACGAAGTCAAGAAGAGGAGTGATAAAAAGGTATGGATAACCGCGGATGGAAGGTGGTCACAAGCGAGAGAGGGCGAATGGTGTACAGTATTGCTGATGGATAGGGAGACGCGCAAAGTACTTCACTGCATAACAATCAACAAACATCGGCACGGTATTTCCTCAACGGCAATGGAGAAGGTGGCTTTCGAGCAAGCGATGCGTGAACTGTCAGCGTTTGGGTTCAAGGTGGACGGAGTGATAACTGGTGGGGGAACTAGTTTCGAGACGGTGGTGGCTTCCATGGGGTTGGAGCATCAGCAGGACGTGTGGCATATGGCCAGAACACTTATCAAGGCATTGCTGCGAGAGTTGGTGGATGCTTGCAAAGACGACATCATGACTGTAGAGGACGCACAGACCATAGAGGACCTTTGGCACATTAAGAAACCAGTGTTATTCAGATGGCTTGAAAAGACGGGGAGGAAAGGGCGGCTGACGGTGTTGTCCACCAGGGAGGCGCTTGGCACCATCGCTTTCAAGGTCATCGATCCTTCGGAGGCGTCCTATAAGTATCCAGAGCTGTGACAGGTGGTTGTACGAATGTCTGGGACAGACACTGCAACAAATCATCTTGCCGAGGCGATTCAGACACTTGATGACGCACCCCCAGTGCCGTCGGAGGGAGATACAGAGGCTGGCAGCAATGCGGTGGTGTTCGAAGACGTGGCTCAGATGTTTGCCTGGGACCCACACCCATTGTACGGTGCACGCCCATCCTTATACGCATCACTGCTGTTGGCCCAGGAGGTAGCTGGGCGATCGGACACAGTTGCGGCAGCTACAGATACTGGGGCTGAAATGACGGAGCAAGGTGAGACGCTCGACATTCTATGTGTGAACACATGCACATGTGTGTTTTATTCGCGCATTGTCTGTCACTGATCTCCCCCTCCACCGCTTCACATTCATTCTTTTGTGTCTCGTATGTCAATACGGTTCCACGTGGCGTTTGTTAATGCATTGTGCTCGCCTGACATGCATCTCCCCTCTTGCAACGGCCCGTGTGTAGAAGAAGTTGCGGCCACTCTGGCTGAGATTGGGGAGGTCAGGGATCGCGGGTGGTGGGACAACACGGGGGAAAACATGGAACCCAGTATTCAAACACCGATAAGTCGTGATGCCCAAGCCAATATTAAGGCCAAAGAAGGGGACAGGCGGTGGGTGCGCAAGGCTAAAAGAAGTAGGCGCGCTAAGCCTACGGAGACAGGGGGTACTGATGGGGGTATTGATCCACCCGAAGGCATGGCAGTTGTTGAAGAAGTCAGTGTTGCCCAACGGTACAGCATACACTTTCATCATGCCGGAGATCACTCAAGATGTGCACGGCATGGCATTGTCCCGAGATGTGTAGCCGATTCGTGGGGTCCCGAGAGTGCGGTGTACGAACACGGTGGCACCACACATGTTGCTTTTCGCGAGTGGCTAAGTAAGCATTGCAGCGCGGAGAAGATGCAACCATTCGTGCTAGGAGTCCTTTCACTCCGTCGTATGCAAATACGCGCCGAAGAGAATTCACTTTCGTGGAAGTATGGAAGCAAGGATTGCGCTCTCCATTCTTCATTGGAACAACACAGTCGAGCGTCTTGTGAGAAGACATATTGTGAGGCCACGGCGTGCAAAGCGTGTGCGACGAGGGAAAAAGGGTCGCGTGCTTGGGCCGATGAATTGGCAATGGACCAAAGATATTTTCAACGAGTGGAATCTCTCCTCCGCCATCACACCTTAGAGATAAACAATCATCGGGTAAGTTACGATGTTGTTATCAATGTTGTATAGAAGTGCGTTCATTGTGCGCCGTAAAGGACACCATGTGTGCTCATGCCATTTCATGCATCAATCTTAACCATACCTTTTTAACCATGCTTTTACGTAGGACTGGGTGCGGACATAATGGGAAGGCCATCCATGTCACCACACAAGCGGCAGCGAAGCATCCCACAAGAGTAGTGCATTACAAGGTACCTTTCATACAGTTTGGTGACAAAACCACTCCGCTCACACCCGTCCTCCCCCCCCCCACCCCTTCCCCCTTCCCTCATTGTCCCAAATTTTACCCCCCTCCATCGCTGCATGTGCAACTCCATCCCCCCCCCCTCTTCTCCCCCCTCCCCCCCGTTTCCCCCTTACCCTCCGGTGCATATACAACTCCCCCCCCCCCCCATTTCCTCGCACTCACACCTCCACCTACCCCTGCTTCCACTCACCCCTGCTTCCACTCATATCCACCCCTGCTTCCACTCATATCCACCCCTGCTTCCACTCATTTCCACCCCTGCTTCCACTCATATCCACCCCTGCTTCCACTCATATCCACCCCTGCTTCCACTCATATCCACCCCTGCTTCCACTCATTTCCACCCCTGCTTCCACTCATATCCACCCTTGCTTCCACTCATATCCACCCCTACTTCCACTTATTTCCCCCCCTGCTTCTCCTCAATGCCCCATATGCTTCCCAGAATTCCAGCCTCTGTTTTCCCTCGTTTCCCCCCCTGCTTCCCTCGTTCCCCCCTCTTATTCCCCTCGTTTCATCTTCTTATTTCCCGCTTTCCCTCTCCCCCTCTTCCCATTGTCCCTCTTCCCTATCCTCCCTATTCCTACTGCATTTCCTTCTTTCCTCTCACCCTCTCCCTATCTCCTCCTTTCCCTCACCCCCCCTCTTCCTCACCCCTTTCCCTCTCACCTCACATCATTCTATCTGCGCCTTTCCCTTTCCCCCTGCTTCCCTCTTTCCCCGCTTCCCTACCTCCGCTGTTTGAATTTTTTTTCCTGCCCCGTCCCTCCCCATCTTTCGTGTTCTCTCCCTCTCCCTATCGCAGTGACTACAGTGAAGTTTTTTCTGGCAAAGCAACTCGCCGCAGCCCATCATCCCATACCAGTTCCCGTGATGTTTTCTTCAAGGCCTTGAGAAAGATACAATCTAAATTATTAGGAACATGCATCTCCTTTCCCTTCTGACACTCTTAGTGTAGCACCATCTTGGAAGAATATCTTGCACTGCAATAACTTAAGTACATATTGTGCCTTTGGATGGACAACTCCAACAGTATTCTCATATCATGCTTGCATACAACACTACATAAACAGGTGGTGGTACGGTGTAAAGCATCGACTAGCTGCGCCTCAGCTTGCTCCTCTACTTCAATACTGAAAAGTCAGAGAGCGGAGTAGGCAGAAAGAATTGTGTGAAGAAACATGGGGGAGGTGGTGTGAGGTGCGAGGGAACAACTGCAAGGGGATACAAGCAAGCGAACATGATGAAAGCATGTATGGCGAGACAATGATGGGTGCACATGCATGGGAACTTGAGGGTGGAAGGTGAGGAGTGAGGGGGGAGGGGACTGCATGAAAGGAAAGGGAAGGGTTGAGAAGGGGAGAAGCAGAGAAAGAGGGATGGGGGGAAGCAGGGGGGGGGATAGGGGGATAGCAGGGCAGTTGATAGGGAAAAGCAAGGAAGGGAACGAAGGGTAAGCAGGGCTCAGGGTGGGGGGAACAGGGCAGAGGGATGGGGGAAGCATGGCAGAAGGAGGGGGGAAGCAGGGCGGAGGGAGGGGGAAGTAGGTAGGAGGGAGGCTGGAAGCGAGGAGGGAGGGGGGAAGCAGGGAGGAGGGAGGTAGGAAGCAGGTGAGGCAAAGGAGAATAGATTGGGGGGTCAACAGAGCTGGTGGGAGAAAGGGAGGTTGGTCAAAATAAATAAGGATGTAAACAATTCGGGGGAACTGAGGTCAACGGGGAGAGGGAGTGAGGGAAGTACACGCTCTCACCCTTTGTCTCTCACTCTATGCCCTTCTGCCTCTTTTCCTCCCCCTCCATCCTTCCCCACCTGTCTCTCCCCCTCGGCCCTAAACCCTCTGTCTCTCCACCTGAGTCCTTCCCCCTCTGTCTCTTCAGGTTTGTCCTTCCCCCTATGTCTCTCCCCATTTTTCCTTCACCCTCTCTCTCTCCCCATTTGCCCCCCTCCTGTTCCTCCCCTGTCTGCAGGAAGAGGCACCGAAAATGCAAAGCAGGGAGAGGAGGGGCACATGGGCAGGGAGAAGATAGACCTATGGAGAGGGAGAGTAAGGAGGGCACATGGGGAGGGAGCTGAGGGGGATTGGAGAGGCACGAGTAGGGGACGAGATTGGGGGGAAAAATGGCAGCACCTCGAATGCAGCAGCAATTGCTTGCTCTTGGGATCTGGCTGGCCCTTCAGCGATCATATCCCTCTCACTCCCCTCAGCCACCCACGCTATGTGGCTCTCACCCATCGATCCCATCATCTCATCTCTTGGGCTCACCTGCCGTGCGGGGAGATATCACCCGAGGATATGGAGGGGGGAAGCAGGGCAGAGGATGGGGGGAAGCAGGGCAGGGGATTGGGGGAAGCAGGGAAGGGGATGGGGGGAAGCAGGGAAGGGGATGAGGGGAAGTAGGGAAGGGGATGAGGGGAAGTAGGGAAGGGGATGGGGGGAAGCTGGAAAGGGGATGGGGGGAAGGAGGGAAGGGGATGGGGGGAAGCAGGGAAGGGGATGGGGGAAGCAGGAAAGGGGATGAGGGGAAGCTGGAAAAGGGATGGGGGTAAGCAGGGAAGGGGATGGGGGGAAGTAGGGAAGGGGATGGGGGAAGCAGGAAAGGGGAGGGGGGGAAGCAGGGAAGGGGGTGAGGGGAAGCAGGGAAGGGGATGGGGGGAAGCAGGGAAGGGGATGGGGGGAAGCAAGGAAGGGGATGGGGGGGAGTAGGGAAGGGGATGGGGGGAAGGAGGGAAGGGGATGGGGGGAAGCAGGGAAGGGGATGGGGGGAAGGAGGGAAGGGGATTGGGGGAAGCAGGGAAGGGGATGGGGGGAAGGAGGGGAGGGGATGGGGGGAAGCAGGGAAAGGGATGAGGGGAAGTAGGGAAGGGGATGGGGGAAAGCAGGGAAGGGGATGGAGGGAAGTAGGGAAGGCAATAGGGGGAACTGGGGAAGGGGATGGGGGGGGGAAGCAGGGCATAGGGAGGGGGGAAGCAGCGAGGAGGGAGGGGGGAAGCAGGGAGAAGGGAGGGGGGAAGCAGGGAAGAGGTATGGGGGAAGCAGGGAGGAGGGAGGGGGGAAGCAGGGCGGAGGGAGGGGGGAAGCAGGGAGGAGGGGGGGGGGAAGCAGGAAGGAGGGAGGGGGGAAGCAGGGAAGAGGGATGGGGAAAGCAGGGAGGAGGGAGGGGGGAAGCAGGGCGGAGGGAGGGGGGAAGCGGGGAGGAAAGGGGGGGGGAAGCAGGGAGGAGGGAGAGGGGAAGCAGGGCGGAGGGAGGGGGGAAGCAGGGAGGAGGGAGAGGGGAAGCAGGGAGGAGGGAGGGGGGAAGCAGGGAGGAGGGGAGGGGGAAGCATGGAGGAGGGAGGGGGGAAGCAGGGAGGAGGGAGAGGGGCGGAGGGAGGGGGAAAGAAGGGAGGAGGGAGGGGGGAAGCAGGGCATAGGGAGGGGGGAAGCCGGCAGGAGGGAGGGGGGAAGCCGGAGAGGGGAAGGAGAATAGATTGGGGGGAAACAGAGCTGGTGGGAGAAAGGGTGGACGGGCGAAATAAAGAGGGGTGTAAACAGTGATGCTAGAAGTGAGGTCGACAGGGAGAGGGAGTGAGCGAAGTACACGCTCTCACCCTCTGTCTCTCCCTGTCTTTCCCCCCATCCCTCTGTTCCTCCCCCTCTGTCCTTGTCCCCCTTTCTCTCCCCCTCTGTCCTTCCCCTGCTGTCTCTCCCCCTCTGTCCTTCCCCTTCTTTCTCTCCCCCTCTGTCCTTCCCCTTCTGCCTCTCCCCCTCTGTCCTTCCCCCTCTGTCTCTCCGCCCCGTGTGACCTTGCCCCTTTGTCTCTCCCCCTCTGTCCTTACCCCTCTCTCCTGAAAGGGGTACATGAGAGGGACAGTGGAAGAAAGGTAGAGAGCAAGGTAGTGAAGGACGGAGGGAGAGGGAGAGATGGAGGAGGATGAGAGGGAGGGTGGACGGAGGTTGGTGACTGGGGGGAATAAACTGTGGTGGAGAATCATGTGCGGGTATGGGCTGCGCGCGCGCGAAAAAGAAGAGTCGGGGTTGACTTCGAGAAGCGCGTGGCGGAGCGCGTGGGAAACAAAGAGGGGGCGACGTGGCGGAGCGCGTGGGAATTAACGAGGCGGAAGCGAAGAGGATGAGCGCGTGGGGCATAACGAGGCAGAAGCGAAGAGGATGTGTGCGTGCTGCATTACGAGGCGGATTCGACGAGGATGAGCGCTGCGACTATAAAGAGGTGGAAGCGACGAGGAAATGTTCGCTTATAAGCATGGATGTGACTAACTCTGTCACGTGCACGTATCGAAACAGGCAAACACATGTTCATCCGCACACATCCGCGCATGCTTGTATTCAAGCGGTTACTGTCTCGCGCCGGCGCGCAATGTGCCGTGCCTAAAGGGACTCATCACTAGCTTCGTCTAATCGCCGCGGGAGGTGCTATATAGGCTTGTCAGAGTCGAGCTGGTCCCGCACATCTAGTAAGGTGGTCGGCAGGGTGTGTTCGATATGGGCCCTGCTCATTTCTCATGTTTGTGGTGCACCCGAGCAGGGCCCGGTGCACCGCCCCGTGGCACCCGCGCGCCGCCCCGTGCACCCGCGCGCCGCCCCTCTGTAGCCGCGGGGCAGCTTCTTCCCCCCCCCCCCCCCCCCTCCACCCCTTCTCCTTCCTCTCCCTGCTACGCGTGCAGCCATGGGGGGGAGGGTATGGGGGTGGCGGGTATGGGAGTGGCAGGTGTGAGTAATCTGCTGCTCCTCCTCCTCCTCCTCTCTCCCGCTGCTGCAGCTGCCGCTGAGGGGGGGAGGGTGTGGGGGAGCCGAGGGAGTGGCGCTAGGGATGCAGAAGGGGGTGCGGAAAGGGGGTGTGGGACAATGGGGGGAGGTTGAAAGGAGGTAGCTGCCATGAAGCCAGCAGCTCCAGTAGTCCGGATGCCCTTGCTTCGGTAGCCCGTGAGCCCGTTGCTCCAGTCGCCCGAGGGTCAGTTGCTCCAGCCGCTCGTCTAGCAGCGGAGCCAGTTACTCCAGTAGTCCGGATGCCGTTTCTCCGGTAGCCTGTGTGCCAGTTGCTCCAGTCGCCCGTGTGCCAGCAGCTTCAGCTGCCGCCTCCTACCTCCTCTCCTCTCATAGTCCCTCCTCATCCTCACTTGCCCTCTCCTTCTGCTGCGCTTGGTGTACCCCTTCAGGGGGTGTCTCTGCATTAGCTACCTGCTGCAAGCAGTTTAGGGGGTGTGTTGACATATATTTCTGATATAAACTGCTTGTAGCAGTAGTTAGTGTAGTGTTACATTGGTGGTGCACCTCATTCCCTTGTCCCTTGCACTATATCTTGAATCTTGCTCATTAGTAAATCCACCTTTCTCCTTTGCTCAACTATCTCGACACTCATGCTGGTACCTTCAACCCTAGCTGTGGCTACTAAGTTCTAGCTACTATTTTGACATCCAATTCAATGTTATAGATCTGATGGTAACGAACAACCGACCACCACTCTAGAAGCCGAATTATCAGGCTAATGGTCCATCGTAACTTTGAGAGCTAGATCGTTATGCTGCCATGGTTGTCAAGTTAAATAGTTGAATGATATGAATCTGGAGCTTTAGGCAAGCTATAGTCCTTTTAGTTTTTAGTTTTTTACTACCATCAAAGGGAAGCCATGGACCACGTGAAGCCGAGTTGCCGGGAATAACTCAACAGAAGAATACGTTGCCTAGGGAATGTCGAGATTCAAGAGGACAATCAAGGATGGGAAGAGCAATTGAGAGACACAATAGTGAGAAATGAAGAGAGCGGATGAAGGGGAGAGGAGGATGAGAGGGTTGGGAGTGGTTGAGAGGGTTTGATAGAAAAAAGGGAAGGATGATGTAGTGGACTTTAAGAGAGAGTTGGCATGAGGGAAGTGAAGAGGGCTACAAGAGGAGTTGCCATGCGAAGCCACTGCAAGCCGAGGGGAGGAGGAAATGGCTCTTCTTCGGGTCTTTGCAAGCTCGAGGGGGAAGTCGTTGCAAAGCGAATGGTGAAGCAGCCGCCGGGTTCTCCGCCTGTCTTCAAGGCTCGTTACGTTGCACGGAGCTTTAGTCAGCGACAGGGAGTTGACTTCTTCCAGACCTTCTGCCCTACCCTGAAGATGACTTCTCTTCGGGTGCTGCTGCACGTCGCTACTCAGCGTCACTACAAGCTTCACTCTCTTGACTTCAGCACAGCTTTCTTACAGGGCAGCCTGCACGAGGAAATCTTGCTGCGGCGGCCACCTGGATTCACTGGGTCGTTTCCTGCAGGTACCCAGTGGAGCCTCCGGCGGCCAGTCTACGGTCTCCGCTAGGCGCCTCGCGAGTGGCACGACACACTGAGGACGTCGCTTGCGGCTCTTGGGTTTGCTCCTTCGACTGCTGACCCGTTTCTGTTCCTGCGCATCGACACTTTGCTGCTGCCGTTCTACATCCTTGTGTACGTCGACGACTCTCTTTTTGCCACTGCTGACACTGAGGCACTGGCCCTTGTGAAGTCGGAGCAACAGAAGAGACACACGTGCACAGACCTGGGTGAGCTGCGCAGCTATCTTGGCTTGCAGATCACCCGGGACAGAGCACGGTGCACCATTACCCTGACTCAGTCACACATGGTGCAAAAGGTCCTTCAACGCTTCCGCTTCGCGTACTCCTCGCCACAGTCCACTCCTCTGCCTACCGGTCAGTCGCTCTCAGCTCTGCCTACGGTTGACTCCCTAGAGCCGAGTGGCCCGTATCCAGAGCTTCTGGGCTGCCTCATGTACCTGATGACCAGCACTAGACCTGACCTCGCTTACCCTCTTAGCATCCTGGCACGCTACGTTGCGCCCGGGAGACACCGACCAGAGCACTGGGAGGCCGCTAAGAGGGTGTTGCGCTACTTGTGCAGTACGCCAGGCATGGGGCTCGTGCTTGGAAGACAGGGTCCATTTGTCCTACCTGCTGACCGACTTGGGTGAGCCGCCTAGTTCTCCTCCAGTCTTGTACGTCGACAACAAGGCCATGATTGCCTTGTGTCAGGAGCACAGACTGGAGCACAAGATGAAGCACATCGCTCTGCGTTACTTCCTTGCTTGAGAGTTGCAGCAGCGTGGACAGCTTCGTCTTGCTTACGTGGTCTCTCGGGCCAACACTGCTGATATCTTCACCAAGGCACTTCAGCCTTGTGATCATCAGCGTTTCTGTACCGCATTGGGCCTTCTGCCTGCTTTGTCTCACTTGCTCACTGCGTGACTTTGCTTGTATTGTGATCTATATGTATATACCTGCATGTTTCCACTTGCTAGGTTGTGATGACTGTACTACTTGTTCTCATATATAGAACTCTAAATGTGAACTGGTCTTGTGGCCATTGTCTTGTGCTCAGAGTGTGTGGTGACTTCGTGATCCACCCTGAGCTTGCTTTGCTTTTCTTGACTAGTCTTGTGACCCCTTGTTCTCCCCCTCTTTGCCTATGGGGGTGTGCCAAACTGTTATAGTGTTTAGGTTGTGTAGGCTGTAGTGAGGTAGCCCATAAGGGGTACAACCCAATTAGGGTTAGTACTTGTACTCAGTTTGATCTCAATGCATCCATTCCCGTTCAGAATTCTGACAGTTTCGAGCTAGAGCTCCTCCTACGGACAGCGCAGATCTACCACTATTTTGACGGTTGCTATCCTAAACAAGTGGAAGACACCGAAGACGCCCGTGCTCGATACGACAGCGAGTCTCTTGTGGCGTACAGCGCGCTGCTAAGGAATATGACGCCCGCGGAGCAACTCGGCATTCGCTCCCACAAAGAGAGCGCTGCTCCAGCCTTGGAAGCCTGGAAGCACCTCGTTGAGGTATATCAGCCTTAGGATTCATTCACCTCCAGCAGGCTTCTGCAGCAACTCATGGAGACAAAGATGGGGAAAGGGGAGAAAGCGAAATCATATATCAACCGCTGTCTGAACATTCGTGATCAGATCACGAAGCATGGAAGCGCAATCTCGGAGGAAATTTTCGTGAACATATTCCTTCATGGACTGGGGCCTGAGTGGAAGCCCTGCAAACCGCTACTCCGACAAAGGGGAACAATTTCGAAAGCTGCCTTGTGCGCCGCTCTCCTGACAGAACAGCAAAACATGGACTCAAGCAAGCCTAGTTCCGCGCCACGGCAAAATCAACTCGCCTTCTACGCCGACAATCAAGAAGAGCAACGACAACCGCGGTGCCACTACTGCAAAATCTGCAAGATATTCGCGCACTCAACGGACTGATGCAGATATCAGTTCAATAACCGTCCCCAAAATTCCACTCATCAAAACAACTGGGGCGGACAGCAAGATGCTCGTCAACAATAACATCAACCTAAACATCAAGCTCCACGTCAGCCCGCTCATCAACAACAGCAACAGCAGGGCCAGACAGCACAGACAAACATGGCAACACGACGTTGCCCACGAGCTACTTCGCCGAACGAAGAGGAGGAACCCGCCGTCGAGTTAATTCAACCTAAAGAGGGGTACAACAATCCTCTTACAGAACGTCACTACTACTACGAAAAAAAAGACGATTAAGAGTGGCATCTGCCAATATAGCTCAGAGAAAGTCCACCCCACGATCACCAACGCAACGTTCCCGTGGGTTGGAAAGAGGATGAATTCTTCCTCAGGAGATATACGGCGACTACCGTCGCACCGCGGCTCGCACTACTCCTACGCAATAACAATATCGCCCACAAAACCTGGTACCTAGACAGCTGCTGCGGCCAGCACACGGTGGGATATATACGCTACATCTCAAATATTAGCCGCGCTCCCCCTTACCTACATCACCGTCGCCAACAACGGACAACTGCGTGCAAACGCCCAAGACATCGTCGTACTGCAAGCACGAGACAGGAACACGCACATCACCTTCAACGACGTGCTTTATGTGCCGGAACTACGCTTCAACTTGCTGTCCGCCGCACAACTCTCCGATTGCGGAGACATGCTCACAACAGATCCCTACACACGCGACCTCATTCTCACCTTTGCTCCTCTTGACTTGCCCGTCGAGGCGCACAAATACCTCAGAAGAGCACGATCAATCAACGGAGTCTATGTACTTGACTTCGACATACCTGACTACAAAGCCTCGTCGGACGAACTCATGGATCTCGTACCTCTGGAGTTTTCTCGAATAATGAATAATCCTGGCAGCATCCGGATGGACGGCCCTGGATCCGCCGCAGTCCTCACCCTCGTGAGATAAATCTGCACCAACCCGGACCCGACGGACTCTACACCACCTGCTTCATGCCTATAGCAAGCTGCAGTGAAGAAGTTGAGAGGGATCTTGCAGCAATTCAAGAAGTGTTAGATGCACGTCATTCTGAGTGCATGTCATCCTTACGTCCTGCTAAGTTCTCGTGCTATTCATGCGTGCATTGTTTGCAT